CATGAGATGAGCTTTCTTTTAATGGAGTATCTCACTCTGACTGCTGGAACGCTGTCTCTCTCTCTCTCTCTCTCTCTCTCTCTCTCTCTCTCTCTCTCTCTCTCTCTCTCTCTCTCTCTCTTTTCTGTGGATGTGTCTCTAGTCTCTTTCTTTTGTCGACCTCTCCTTTCTCCCTTCACCCCCACAAACCCCTTTTCTTCTTTAACCATGAGCATGTTTTCTTTCAAAACAATATTAGAAAACTACGTGAAAGTGAACAGAGAATGCAATGAACCAAAATGATCAACAACAGTTTTTTCATTATTTTTGAAAAAAACCCAAAAACACACCAAATACAAGACTTTATGAAAGCCACACCTTCGCAAATCTGAAAAAAAAATGATGGCTCATTATTTTTAAAAAAACCAAACCCACAAACTAGTGTGTGCTTTGAAATTTTCCATCATATGCCAGTAGAGTAAGTCGCCGCTTGTGGATAAAAAATTTAAAAATTGAATAAATCATTCAGAAACAAATGAACACAGGTGAATTTAGATTCTACTAACTGAATAGACCACGGACAATCAAACAGAAATATCATCTAAAGTAAAAAGACCGACAAAAAACAGTAGCTTAAGAAAACCGTGTTAAGCGAGTTCTTGTTTCACATCCTCTCAGTTTGAAAAGCAAACCATTCTGAATAATGGCCGATTTTCTAACTTTGTGCTTTCTTCCAGTTAGCAGGGCATTTACATTGTGGACAGCAACCGAATATTCAATAACTCTAAACAAACAGCAATAAAAAACCCAACAACAACTTGGAATGCTAACTAAAATGAATGACAAACAAGTGGATCTGACAAAAAGAATGAATCTTATAAACACTCGTCTTATATATTCTATTTTCAGTCTTCGCCTATTGCAAACGAACTTGTATCCTTTAAGCTATAAATATGATCTACATTATTATCATTATTATTAAGTACCTGTGAAGCTTTACAACAACATCACCTCTTTCACACGTCTAAAAACGTTTGATTAAAAAGGTATTTACACAAAAATCTCCTAAACTTGATCTTACCAAAAAAAAATGATAAGGGATTTGCTAGGAAACTCTCTGTCGATTTTGCTGACATTTGCTTAGAGGAATGAGCAGTGAATTTTGAACATCTCGAAAACAATCACGTTGAAAAACACGCCAAAAGGTGATAACATATTACGGTATATCGAACGACCCTAAATCCAAAGAACCTAATATAAAATATCGAGTATGTAAAATTGAGGAGATAGAATGTTCATTGGATCTAAGTTTTACTTGACCGATCAGTAAAAGTAATAATGAAATAAATTCTAAAGGTCTAATCATTCCAGATTCTGATAATTAAAATACGTTCACGCCATTGCCCCCTCTGAAGAAGATTGGGAGCTGTGGTTTTAAAGAGGAAAAAACACACACATTATACTCATGTATTATGAGCCAAAGAACTTTAATGGGACGAATCACACAATGAACCAAGACGAAGCTAGTTCTTTAAACATTGCTCTACAGATTTTGATTCTATTTCAAGCACTACATAATTATCGTAAAAAACACTTTTCTTCAAACACAGTTTTTTTTATCATCACAGTCCATATCAAGTATCTCAACCATCAGACTCCGGTACATTGGCCGTTGTCCCATTTTCAGTTCCGGTATTCTATTGACTTTTGACACACAGCCTGAGTAGTCCATCGCAATAATATTATGACGATCGCCCCTGCCTACAGCACCTACCACAACGACGTAGTTTCGTCTAAGCTGAGTGTGAGGAAAATGAAAAAAATATATTTAAAAAAACGGTTTGGAAAACGGTAGATTGGTAAACTCTCACTCATCTCGGGCATGAGGGAGGGTTCAAATCTCCAAACACATTCAGCTCGTAGAGACACGACAAAACTACCACGATAGTGTAAGCAAATAAGCAGAGCACGCCGTATCCTCGGGTCAGTTTCCATTTGTTGAGGCCGATGGAGACGAGGAGGAAGGCCACGGTCGCTAGGAGGGTCAAGGACGAGTAGATGAGTCCTCTGCTGGTTATACTGACGCTGTCACCGTTGTTGGAAGCGGACTCAATGAGCCAGGGTAAGCCGAGACAGAGGAGGATGTCGAACACGTTACTGCCCAGTGAGTTGGACACCGCCATGTCGCCGTAACCTGTGAAAAATGATAATAGTTTTTATTTCACTTTTTGTAAGAGTTTTACAGCAATAGCAATTCAAATAGGTCACAAAGTACCAAAGATTATAAATGTTATCACAAGAGAGTAACGTAACACACAAAGAAAGTAAGGAGGACATACTGACGGCAGGAAAGAAGGAGCAAACAACTTCTGAGCCTTTTGTGGAAATTTGGTCAAGAAATGATTTTAAAAAATCCTTTTTAAGGATACTATATTATTTCATGGAACTATTTTTTCAAGACACCGAGGTTTCCATAGCAACCGTAGCAAGCAAAACTACACAAACTGGCTTAATATTATGT